GTGCATAGCATTGTACTTGTTGTAACCTCTCCAACTCTCTTTATTATAATAAAGAGAGTTAAACTCATTTAAGAGTCCAATGTGGGAGTGACTCTTGACCCTTCAATTCCCACAACCAACATTTTACGTGCCCTTTTATGGCTAACTTTAACAATTTATTTATCACTCACCAAAAGTCAGTTTTGAGAAAATAAATATACCACGAGTATCTACTCGGAATGTAGAATTTTTCTACAATATTTAATTCAACTCAAATTAAATATTTAGCCATAAAAAATTCAGTCAAAACCGGGTCAAACCCAAGTTTTATAACTGATTTTTCCAACAGTTGGTATCATGAGTTGATGGCTAGAACTCAAGAACACTCCAAACAGTGCACTCGGGACTTAAGAACTTCACTCTTGGCTATTGGTGTATTGCTCGGGTTTGATTGCTTGGAAGGAGTTTAAGCTCGAGTTTTTACTAAGTCATGGGGCATCAAACGAGGTCTACAAGAAGCTGAATGAAGGCCTTATAAGCTGGTCCTTGGGCGTTACAAACAAGGCTCACACTGGAGACAAAGTAAGAGACAAAACTTATAGATTCTCTTCAAGTGTTTGTGAACACCTTCCTTAGGCACATGATGGTCTTGGAATCTCATATGGCTGAGCTAAAAGGAGCACTAATGGGGCTGAGAAGTGCTCTGGTCGTGCACTAGGTGTTAAGGGGGAACAAACTCTTACAAGACCAATTGTTCTCATGCTATGATAATTAAGCATAGAATATATATGGCTAATCATGATTTGACTTAAGCTAAACAATCTTAAGGTTGAAATGAACCCTTAATCGCTTGTTAATAACCGCATGAACTTGGGCTGGTCGAGTTGAGACGATGTTCGGGTCACAACGGTTCGATTAAAACGGATATGATTTCGGCTTACGCGATTAAACAGAAAATCCAAACGGTGATCGGTAAAATAAATCGAACGACTCGTAAGATTATATTGTTCATTCAATGTAGGTCACGCTATCAAGACATTTAGAAAAATAAAAATGAAATGCAATTAATCAACATAAGAATCGAAAAAATCCAATATTCGAACGAGGCGCTACACATTTTCTCGCCAGAAAGCGCCTCGTAGAGAGAATTTTACGATTTTCCGTGGTTTTGAAAATGACAGGGGCAAAATAGTCAGAAGGGACGATAGATAGTAATAGGAGACGTTAAACAAAAACACCTTTTTCAAATGAGGCCCAATACTTTTAAAAATTTTATTTTTTCTTGGAAAAAAACTAAACTATTATTTTTTTTGAAAAATCTAAATTAACTGGATTCCAAAACGAATTAATGAACGCCCGAAGTCATTTGGTAGTTGTCAGAGAAGAAGCACAGTTGTCTGGAAATTACAACCCCGTTCATCGTTATTTCTTACAGAGTCGCCATTCCAAAATCTGCCCTCCCCACCGGTTGGAATTTGAGCAACGTTGTTCTCAATTCTCGAAAAAGCTAAATTGTCAACCAAAGATTGCTACATAAAGGGCGAGGCCTTGCGCTCTGGGTACACTTGGTAAAAAGTAGACATCTGTAAGATCAATTTTGATTTCTTTTCTAACTATACCTAAAATTCTGTTGTCTTTCAGATAAGTAATTAATGATTTGCCGATTCTTGCCCAGATAAATTGAGTTTAATGGTTGTTCAAGAATTTGGTGGTTCTTCTTATGCACATCCAGTTATCTTATTCTGATATTTCATGACGAGTGAATGAAGGGTTATCGTGAATTCAAAAGTAATCCGATTCGTAACTCTGAAAAAATAAAATTAAAGTCTAAAAAGACTGCGGGATCTGTCTCACCTGAGGTAGAGCCGAGCATTGGATACTGCACGCATCAAAAGCCGACGGCACTTTGGTCTGGAATCTGGTCATCCTCCATATCCATTTTCGGGAGTTCGAGTTTTATAAATCATCAGAAAGGTGAGTCCAAGAATTGCTGTAGCAGCAGTTGTGGCATAAGGAAAAGGTCATCGGGTGGGAGGAACTATTATGAGGTGTGGAGAGCCACAGTGAGGCGAGTAATGATGAACGGTGGATCAATGAGGAGAATATTAGGGTTTAGCAGATCAAGTGTGCTGGCTTCCAAGAGCGACATCTGGATTTTAGGAGTTTGCTACCAGATTTCCAAGGAAGGCGAGGATTCATCTAATCCAACCCAGAGCGAAGATTTCGCTACATTCGTTGAGGATTTCTCGTCCCGGATCCTTATCACATACCGTAAAGGTGTGGTGTTTGTACTGATCTCTGAGTGGATGATCACTTTTCGGTTAGCCATTTTGTGGAATTATGGATAATTACTATGTTATTCTTTTTTCTTGCCTTTATAGGATTCTCGCCCATTATGGATACCAAGTACACCAGCGACATAAACTGGGGGTGCATGATTCGAAGCAGTCAGATGCTTGTTGCTCAGGTAGTATGCTGTTTTTTTGTTTAGAATGTTTTGCTTGTTTTCTTGAAGATTTTACTTGTATCATGCATGCTGATTTTTTTCTTCCGTGTGTAGGCATTTCTTGTTCACATATTAGGGAGATCGTGGAGGAAATCTCCTCACAAGGTAATTTTATTTTATCATAAATTCGTTAACTTGCATTTAAATTCTCGAGGATGAGAACTTATTCTTGTTTGAATCCAGTTCATGGAAATAAGACCTGTGGTATTGATCTTTTTCTACTTTTGTAGAAACTCGACCCACATTACATTGAAATATTGCATCTTTTTGGGGATGCGGAAAACTCACCTTGTTCCATACACAATCTTCTCCAAGTGGGAAAGGCTTACGGTCTTGCCCCTGGATCATGGGTCGGACCCTATGCCATGTGCCGCACGTGGGAAAGTTTGTTGCGGAATAAGAGCAAGGATAGAGATAGTGGAATCTTGTCCTCAGTGATGACTTTATATGTGGTTTCTGGTGATGAAGATGGGGAAAGGGGTGGAGCTCCTGTGCTCTGCATTGAGCATATAGCCCGGCACTGTTTGGAGTTTGGAGGAACCCAAGTTGGTTGGGCTCCTGTCCTTTTGATGGTTCCTTTGGTTTTAGGACTGGAGAAAGTCAATCCTAGGTACATATGTATGCTAAAGCTTATGGATTTAGAAATATATTTGGTTAATGTTTTGGTTTGTTTTCTTTTGTATCTTCTTATTTGTTTAAAATTGCTTATTTGCCGGTCCTGAAGCCTTTTGTTATGCATTTGTTTCGAGATAATGATTCCACCATGGTGCCTGCTCAGTATTTTGATTACTCAATTTGCTTTTGGCACATTTAAAAAACATAGGTTGAACTTTGGTTATTATAGGATTTTGATCTAACCAAGTGAAATGGGTGTAAAAGGTCATCAAATTATTAGACAGGAAGAGTGTATAGCGTGAGGGTATTTGCTTATAAGCCATACAGGTTATATAGATGCTTGAAGATATATGTAATGGTTGTATTTAAGGTGGAATATCCATTTGCTACTGAAAGCAGAAAACTAATATGTGTGCACTACATAATTGGACAGGCCAAACGACTCTCGGCCTAAGGCTATGTTTGGTAAAACTAGCTGATAAGCTAGCTGATAGATGATAAGCTAGCTTATAGCTTATATGTAATTCTTGAGCTTATAGCTTATGACTTATAGCTGAAAAGCTAGCTTATATGATAAAAAGATGTTTGGTAAATTAGCTGATAAGCTAGCTGAAATAAAAAAAATCAACTAGCTTATTTGAAAAGCTACCTAAAGTAGCTTATGAAATAAGCTCGAGCTTTTTAAAAAAGCTCGTCCTACCAAACGAGGCTTATTTTAAACAGGGAGCTTATAAGCTAACCAAATAAGCTATAAGCTAGCTTATTTGGCTTACCAAACATACCCTAAGGTGGGTTTTTTTTTTGAAGATGTTACTATCAGAAAGTGGTTGCATTATTTTATTCATGAAAGATCTGAAAAATACACCTGAAATGATTGCATTGAGGCTGTTGTTCAAGTTTATTTTTTTTTCAGTTGGGATCGTTAAAGTAACTGGATGCACATGCAAATAATTGATCAAAAATGTCATTCAAGTGATTACATTAGTGATAAATGCAACCCTAATTAAACATTTGTGAAGAAAAATATTAAGATGATTAAATGAAGTTTACATATTCTACTAAGAATGCTGAGTGGTGCATGTGCATTTGTAGGTTTTCATATTTCTAACTAGTAAGATTCAAGTTATTTTGACTTCTCCATGATCGGTGTTGTTCATCTACTTTAAGTTTTCAGTTCACCTACAATCTCTACATTCCTTCCACACATCCTCCTGCGGTGTAATTTTATTAGTAACTTTTTCCTTTTCCTTGTC